AAGACCTTGATAGGTATGAGAGTGTTAGGTCATTCAATCTTCATTTATTTATTTGTATGATTATTATAGTTCATATGAGAAGATAATTGAATTTTAAAGTATGACTAGTACAAAGATGCACCCTATCTCATAAAAAATACCTTTGTAAAAAGTTCAAATGTACAAGTGCTCAGGCACATGCACACGTCCGTGTGCTCACAGAGTGCACGCCTGACAGCCTGTCAATGGTATCTAATTTATGTATGTACTTTTCCTTATTACACTCTAACATATTTTGAATATTTATCATAAAAATAAAATATGAGTTAAATGCTTACAGCCTTCCTGAAATTCACTGGAGTTCCCTTTAACAATTTGAAAACCAGGGCATTAACCCTGCCGCTCATTTATACTGGAGAGTTAAAGGACCCAAATCAGGCCCCTTCTGGACACGCAGGTTTTAGAAAAAGAGAGAGGGAAGCATGAGATTTTTAATATTAATTCCTTTTTCAGGAAGGCAAGGAACTTATTAGGCACCTATTATGTGCCAGCAGTGCTAATGTATTATCTAAATCCCCACAACACCCTTGCCTAACAACCATCATTACCCTGACGTTACAAGAAGATGAGACTGAGGACCCAGGATGTTCATTTGCTTACCTAGGGTTACACTCCTGGGAAATGGCAGATAGGACCCAAACTCTGACCCACTAGACTCCAAATCTTTCCCACCACACCAGACTGCCTCCCATCTAGCCTCCCCATTTTATAAATGAGGAAAATGAGAATGAACGAGGTAAGTCCCTTGCTTCTGGAAACAGCTGGTTAGTGGCAGGGCTGTTTCGGGTATCCAGCAGCACAGGTGTTTCACGAAAGCTCTATTTGGCGGCCCAGTGGGAGGGTACTCTGTGCAAGCCCGGCTACTGGGGGCCAGAAGGCTCATTACTTCACTTGCAGACTGGAAGGCACCTCAGTATATACTGCTTCTCTCCCCCAACCCCTGCAATAGTGTAACTTTGAGGTGACAGTATAAAACATGGCACAATACATGTGCGAATTGCCAATAGTCATAACTAATATTTTCAGAGCACGTATTTGTACCAGGACCTTTGAAGTGTTTTGAATCATCTCATTTAAATCACCTCATTTAAATCTCAATGCAATCCTATGAGATAGTCTAATTGTGGACATTTTACACATGAGGAAATAGAGGTTGTTTCTGGAAGATCCCTCCCCGACGCCGCATCTAGTAAGAATTCACGCCAGGCAGTCTGACCCAGAATCACCATGTCCAGAGCTAAAAAATGCCGAGTTCAGCATAGCATTGGTTTGGGCATGCATGTAGGATCTTAGTACAGAAACTCAAGATACACAGCATTCTCAAGAAGTCAGAGAACTGCCCTGAAGGGTGAGGCTCTGTTGCTAGGGTGTTGTCCTGCAAACAGAAAGGTCACCAGTTCAATCCCTGGTCAAAGCACATGCCTAGGTTGTGGGTTCGGTGTACAGTTGGGGAGCCTACAGAAGGCAACTGATCAATGTTTCTCTCCCTCTGTTTCTCCCTCCCTTCCCCTCTCTCTCTAAAAGTACATAAGTAAAATCTTTAAAAAAAAAAAAAAGTCAAGAGAACTCACTACAGGTAGGTTTTCTATAAACATTATCTAATGGGGGTATAGCCTATAACTGAGGCCCCAGGCAATGCCAATTGTCATACAAAGGCAATGCACCACCATTTCCACCAGCAACGCCACTGCCATAGTGGCGGAATACCTTTTACAGGCTGTGAGTCAAGAACACGAGAAGTCACTGTTTCCTTGAAGACCCTTTCTAAGCAACCTGAACAGAAAGCTCTCTTTCAGTGACAGAAGCGGTGGTGCTGTGGTGGCCGAGGCCATCTCAGTCCTTGGGTAATGACTGTGTGTCATAAATAGGATATGGCAACTCTAAATGTCTTTAAAGCCATTTCCTTTTGTTCAACTAATTTAATTTACCAAATGCTCCTGGGAAAAGGGAGGGGGACCAAGATGCTGACTCCACATTTCCTGAAAAATCAACATTTTCTTTTTAAATTGCTCCCAAAGAAATTACATCTGATCATTGTCTGCTGGCTCTCTTAAACTCTACCTCTGTCAAAATTCTGCCCCAGCAGGTGTGAGAAAGAATAGATGCAGAACTTGAGTAAATACCCACATCTGTTTTTGGAAAAAGGGAACAGAAGCAGCACAGAAGGAAGTAAAAGAGATAATTGCTGGCTTGAACTACAATACATTTTACTTGCGGGCAGAGGGCCAGCTTACAGCAGGCGGAGTATGCAGGCCCATCTTATTGGAATTCAGGGGTGGGCCTCCATTCTTGTCCGGAGACAGCTGTAAACCAGCAGCCCATAGCATCCCAATCAGGCACCGAGTTTTGTCAAGGAGTGCTGATATGTACAGAAGCAGCTTTGTCTGCTTCAACTGCACCCCTGCCTAGTGAAATGACAGTCAATCTCTGATTCCAGATGACAAGAACTGGATAAAAACTTAAAACAAATGGCGACCTTTCAAAAGATTAATTTGTTTACCAACAAAATGTTCCCTCTTTGTCATCTGAGATGGGGGTGACCTTCACTTTCCCATATCTAGGCTGAAAGGATGCTGACTATAGTCATCTGTTAAGTTAACTCCATCTCAGCAATTATTCCCTTTTTTATTTTTAGTGACAAGAAGGGTTTATTAATTCATTCTGCTTCTTGTTGTGGTTTATAAATGCAACAAGCTCATTCTGAATTACTGCAGTGTAACATCAATTTGTTTAAATCTAATTCTGCTACCGTTGCCAAATTATGTTGTGACTGTAATTGTGGCCATATGCATGGACTTAAAACACAATCATGTTTTGAAATAGCCCTTCTTTTCCCACCCCCCCTCCTCCTTACCCCCGCCCCTTACTTCTGGCGTTTCTTCTAATCATTTGACATTAACACAATTGCCTCACTTTCCATTACTTTATCATTTCAGAAATGAATGCGCTTTTAGTGAGAGAGATTACCGTGTACACCCCCAAGTGAAACAGTAAAGAATGAAACTATGATTTGTGAAGTGTGGTTGCTACCCAACTAAGTTAGTGAAAAACACTGCATAACATATGACTCATAAAAATCTAAAAATCATAATAGTATTAAATTCAACCTCATGAATAAATAAAAGATTCTAAGTTTACATTGCATTATATATTTATTTACTTGGAAAGTGGGACCAAAGAACTAGTATAATTCTACAGCAACTCATATCTTGCCAAAAAGAAAAATGTTTGTATGATTCTTTTCTAGGTCATAACAGTTATAATCAGAGTTATTTGTGCAGCAATTCAAAGCAATGTTTTGTTTGGCTATTTTGTTATGCATTCATAATCGTTCTTTTAAAATTCATGTTAATAGATACATGTTTCAAGCCTTTTAAGAAATGCTTTTAGTTAAAAAAAATAAATCAAAGTCAAATTTTCTTTAGATCTTTTAATGTATTGCATTGGAATGTCTAACTGGAACTAAGTGCCAGTAAATACAAACAGTATCACAGATTTCTTCTTGTCTCCCCATGTGTACAGGACCCTTCTCAAAAGCCTAATACAGGGATGATGATGATGATGATGATGATGATGATGATGATGATGATGATGATGATTAGGCACATTTAAGATATTGGAAAAATCATCAATGAGTTTCACTTTCACTATATTGTTGTAAACTGATTTTACTAAGAGTTAATAGGAGATAGTATGCTGAAGGCAGGGTTTTTTTGCGGGGGGGTATATGTGTGTCGATGTATGCCTGGGATATGTGTGTTTTCACTGCACAAATCTTTGCATCAGCAAGGATACACCTCTTCACAAAATGAAGAAAATACCAGTTTCTAGGACCTAATAATGTAAATTAGCTTCAAGTTTGCTCCATCAAAAAATGTCTAAGGTTATTTACAGGCTTTGACAGGGTGTTCAAGTTTCAAAAGTAAGGAAACACATGGCCCTCAGCAGCCCAATAACAAGCCCCTCTGAGTGTTTGGAGTAGTTCTCGAAAGCGATTAGCCTTGATGCTGCTCTTTTAATTAACTATACATCACGACACCAGACACGTTGCTTCAGTTTGGGTAAGTGCTTTCAAAACATTTTTACAAGTGGTAAATCATAACTGTATTTATTCCCAAGTGCCCTACATGGTTGTTTAAAACCAAACACCTGAATATTTCTTTCACAGAGCTTTTTGCACAATGCTTCTGTTTTGTAAATCCAAAATGAAAGTACTGTTTTTCAGTTAGTACCATTAAATATACACATATATCAACATAAAATGATAGGGTTAACAATTTTGATTAAAATGCCAATAGTCAACTTGTGTAAAATGTGCCTAATGTATATATATTTTAAAATGCTCTGGTGTAGAGTTTTATGAAGTCATGTTTTGTTTTTTTAAAAAAAATCTTTAATGAAATAAATGAGCATACATTATTTATATGTCAGACAAGGCAAAGAGCTTTCCCACATCCTCTGTGTTCACCATACATGGGCACAGTACCCAAGGTACTCAGTCTATTTGGGAATTAGAAAAAATATATATAATAAATGACTAAGAGTCTACCTCAAATCTTGGATATAAATTTGAATTCCTATTTATGTCTGAATCTTCACTGAGATTCATTAAAGCAATGCATGGTCCTCTCTAAATCTGGAGTTATGCCTTTTTAAACTTCAATACTCATCAGAAAAAGTTTGCATGAGATGCAGCAGTTGCCTTGGGCTACAAAGCCTCAGCACTCCACCAGCTAAGCCAATATTAATTCTAGATTGAAGGGGGAAAACCAACAACAACAAAAGATAAATCTGCTTCTGTCTCAACAGCCAGAGAAATAATATTTTTATTTCAAGGGCTCTGGGCTCATGGGAGCAGATAAAAATCCTTTCACATTATTCACAGTGACATTTTAAATAAAGTTTCAGCAGGAATAAAAATATCTAACTTTCTGGTTATTTCTTAGGCTATAAAAGTATTTCTATGATAAAGTGCTCTTAAACCAAACCTGTTAAAAGAACATAAAAAACATATAAAGCAACTAAAAATATATTACAGGGTTACATGAATGAAATAGGCAGTTGAAAATGTCTATGCAGGACATTTGAAAGATTAATCTAAGAGGCTATTATACTCATTAGAAATGGTTTTTCAATTTAATTCTAAAATTAATCTGGTTTTTAGTTTGACTTCACCTAAGTATACATTTAAGAGCTTTTGAGAGAAGCCAAAAGTTAAAAATGTATTTTAAAATGTATAGATGTCACCTCAGTAATTGCTTTCAATATTAGAAATGATCTGAAATAAAAGAATTTCCTAATTAAATAAAGCATTACTCTTAATTCTCCCAAGAAAACCCCACAATACAGAGAGAATCCAATCCTTGCTATGGGACGCTTACCAGAAAGTCAATGGCAAAAATAGGCACAGACTCTGAGATCCCTTAATGCAATCACCATGTGATTATTTTTCCCTGTCATCATTTTGCTGACCTAAAGAATTAATCCCTGCTTGCTTCAGATTTAGAATAATTTTATTAAATGCTGTGTACTGTATGAGTATATACCATTGAAGCTGATACTATGCTCACTTCCTTCTGGTTTTTTCTAGTCATAAGTGTACTATCAAAGAAATAAAATATTTAAAATTTCTCCATTAATTCTCTTTGTTCTTAAATTCTCTTCTCCTTGTTAAAATTATGGTACTAGATTATTAAGAACATCAATTAAAATAGAGAAATTTGAATGAGCTACCAATGGATCTTTTAAAAATAGGTTTACTTGTTTTAATCATTTCTAATTATAAAGAGAATGAAAGCACTCCATTAAATTCTAAAGACAAAAGAATCAAAATCTTTACTTAAAATCTATATTATATCTTGCATTATTAATGTATGACTTTTAATTTTTTAAAAATTAAGAGCTCATTAAAACAACTCATTACTTACACATGCTTTTCTCTGATTAATATAAGGCAAACTGATTCCATAGTTCGCATTTACAGCAGCTCTGTGGTGGGTGTTTTCAGGATCCTGCATGATTTTTACATTCAACCCAATCTTTCGCTGAAACAAAGAAACAATGAAACTTTCATGCTGGATGAACAAAAATGCTTCCTAACATTTTATATCCTCAAAGGAGTATAAAGTTCTTTGGAAATAATTATTTTAGTGCAATTCTCACTGGAAAAATATATATATATGTATTTGGGTCTTTTATTCATGCTGTTAATTGTCCTCATTTATTCACAGGAAAAGAACTTTGCAGATTTTCCTCCACGTATCCTACTGCTCATACAAATACATCTTCAGACAGCATTCATTTACTGAAAAGTAATGGCAGAAGCCAACCAAAGTGGACAAAGGACTAGAATACCTGGTTTCAATTTCTTTTTAGCTTTCCAGGTCAAGAATTTTGCCAACGAAATCTATACTGCAAACACACAGGTAGAGGGCTCCCTTGGTCTGTTAATGTGGCACTTTCCTCAAGGGACATTTGCAGGTAAATCTCAGTTTGGACTCAGTAAATTTACCACAACAAATTTATTTACTCCTTCACAGAGATTTTGCTATGAATAGGAAAAATGCATGCTTTCATTAGGGGAAAAAAAAAAATGAAAGTATCTCATTTGAACCATGTGTTCCTCATTTTAAGTAATTCAAATTAGTTACAGCTGAGATGCTCAACTATAAACCAGCAGCGGAGGCAGCACAGTGGAGGCGGAAAGGGGCATGGAAATGGCGGGAGACGCGGGTTCCAGTCTTGTCCTCCTCTGGGCTGCCTGCGTATGATCGTGGGTAGATCACTTCCCCTCTTTGGAAGTCAGTTGCTTTATTTTCAAAATGTGACAGTTAGACTTGATGGTCTTTTGAAGAACTATTCACCCCCCACACCCCATTCCTGCTTTGGCATTCTAGGATTTGATAATAGTAAGTTGACACCTAAGAAATATGGTATTACCACCAGTTTCAGAAGTCTTGTGACTTTCTTACTGTAATATAATTCACACAGTATAATATTCACCCCTTTACAAGTGTGTATTTCAGTGGTTTTTAGCAAATTTACGAAGTTGTACAACCATCACCCCTCTTTAATTCCGGAACATCTTTATCACTGCAAAAAGAAACCTCAAACCCATTATCAATTACTCTCCATTTCTTCCCCATCCCAGCCCCTGGCAACTACTAATCTTACTGTCTCTTGAATCTGCCTATTCTGGACATTTCAAATGAGTTGTAAATATGTAGTCTTTGTAACTTTTAAAAGGAGGCGTTGTACGCGATTAGAATATCTTATTTCCTTTCAATTGAGTGTCTTAGTTCTGAGAGCGATCTGAGGCAATTGTTAAAATGGTTGTAGGAATCAGGTGGATTAGTTCATGATCCAGGTATTTCTTTGATCCTAAGAATGTATACATAGGCTGTGTCTAACATCAAAATGAAGGGAAAGACTACAAAATTATTTACAGAATGTATATTGTCTAGTTTTAAATTTTTATTTACTTACTTATTAGAGAGAGGAAGGGAGGGAGAAAGGGAGAGAAACATCCATGTGTGAAAGAGACATCAATGGGTTGCCTCCTGCAAGGCTCCCAACTGGGGACCTGGCCCGCAACCCAGGCTCTTGCTGTGACAGGGAATTGAACCGGTGACCTTTCACTTTGCAGGCTGGTGCTCAACCCACTGAGCCACATCAGCCAAGGCATCTAGTTATTTCTTAACACAGGTGCCAAACCTTCCTTTTATTTTTTTAATAGTGGTTTTTAAACCAAATCTCCAAATAACTGCACTCAACTGTCCATTTTATTTAGCCCGTGCAGGGACACAGTTTGCAAGGGAAGCCTATTTCCTTCTCCTTGAAGTGTACATGGTGACAAGAGTAATGCTGTGCCTAGTCATAAGTGGGGTTCCTTCTGTGGCTAACCCACGCTCACAGCACTCCTCCGGCTGCTTACATGAAGTCCAGTGCTTCTCTTATTGAAATTAGTACCTGGACATAACTATTTTCCTTAATTAAATTTTCAGAATAATTTTCGTTCTATAAGGGATTGGGACATCACTAATATGTATATATTGACTGGATGTGGTTTCTGTAATTAGGGTTTTCTTTTTTTTTAATGCATATTCTGGATATAACTGATGATAATAGCTTCACCTAAGCTTTGTTAGAACTTTTTAATTCTGGGATCACTGACTAGTGGACCATGGCAGTTTTCTTAGTTTCATTCTGCTCCATCAGCTTTCTGGGACTATAGGACTGGTGTAGGAAAGAAATCAAACACAGAATTATTGTTAAAATTGGCACTAAAATCCAGTTGTTTTCTGTCCATTTTTACATTTCTGTGGCCCTGACACAGATATTTCTGGTAAGAAATCAAAATATAAAGAGAAATCCAACAGAAATGATAGGTTGTAATATCAGTTCTTTACTAGTTGGCTTCTAAAGCCATGGGAAATGTCCTTCAAAATTATTAATATTCTAATATTTACTATTTTGGCACCAAAGCATGTGTATACCAAAATAATATGTAGCATACTTGATTTAATTTCCCTTTTAAAAAATCATATAAAGGGGTCTACATTTAAATAATACTACCATATCAAATGGTTTCACTGAAAATCACTCACAATCTAAATTCACAATCTAAATTTGTCTAACAATTTCACAAATTACATCTATAGATATATATAGGCAAATATGTATAAGCATAAACCACATTATTAGACCCAATTATAAGATTTTCTAAGAAAAACAATTATAGATTTAAGAAACAAAAACAAAATTAATCAATCCATTAAGCAGGAAAGCATGCCCTGGAAGATGATCATTTTTTACCAACAGTAAGATAAATATCAGAGATAATTTCAGAAATTTTTCTTAAATTGGTCAAGAAAAGACAGCAATTTATTTAATCTATCTTGAGTCACTAAATAATCCAAACTTTATATTCTCCTTTTGATAGTAATTATAAGCAGATATATCAAACGTGACTCTCATTTAGACTTTGGTTTGTAAGAACAAAAGTTATTATCAGAGCCAATTACTGTTTTACCTACATGGCTGCACAGAAGCAGGGAGCTCAATTTTCATCTCATCAGTGATTTTGTGGTATTTATTTTATTACTATGCCCACAAAGCTATATAAGAAAGAAATAGCTTATGCTATTAAAACTAGGGTTTGAACACAAGAGGCTAAGGTTTCTTTTAGAAGAAGTTCTGAATTAAAAACACTAGGCAGCATGTAATGCCAGCTCCCCAGACATGGGCAGACCATAAAATGACATACATCTGAGCAGTAGATCCCACACAGAGTAATCAAAATTGAAATGCTTCACAAACAAAGTTGAGGCAGGCTATTTACTAAGTTATAGTATTATCAGCATAACATTATTCTCAACAGTGTTTGTTACAAGTAATGCCTTCTAAAGTGTATGTTGCTTAATATCATGTTCCTGCTGGTTAAAGACATCTGCTGTTTAATCTCAAAACCAGAAAAAAGAAGAAAATCCGGTTTCCTTTAACACTGTGATTCTTTCAACCATTATTATATTTAATGGAAGTACAAAAGATGCCAAATTCTGGTTCAAGCTGTATGTTCTAGATTTATTTGTAAAACTGGGTAATAATACCAACCTTCATAGAGTTGTTTGTGAGGTTTAAATTACTAATATATGCTAAATATCTTGCAAATTATAAAGTACTATTCAGGAGTTAATTTGCAAGGGGCTTCTACTCATCAAATAATAACTGCAATAGATTGAAACATTTCAAATATAAAAAAATCCACAAGTTTTTAATAAAATTACCCCATCTTAATTACCCCAAAAACTTAACAAAATTGATCATTTAATCTTAACTTTGATAAATAAAAGAATCAAACATTTATTGTGCTTTTCCTGAAAATCTATTTTTAAAATTCACCAAAGGGATAAGGGAAAGTTCTTCACAGAAACTAATAAATGAAGAAGGAAAGATAGAATTATAAAATCACCACTTTGCAATTCCTAATGAAATAATGAACAATATTTGCTAAATGTCAATAGTTGCTAATAGCTTCAGGTGAAATGTGGTGGAGAACCTTATATAGGATAGATCGACCTGGTAATATTTGGACTCACTGTTCTTTTGTAACATCATTAAAAGAGAAAAAAGAATTTACCTCTGGATACCCTGTAAAAGGAAAGACACAGCACCACCTATGAAGTATTCCTGCCAGAAAGTTGTTACCTGAATCTGATTAAGATTCTACATAAAACTAGCTTATAGGAAATATTAGGGACAGAGGACCATGTAAAATGACACCATGAGATTGCAATCAACCAAATCCAGACTGTGGAAAAAACCTGTATGACAAATGTCCTGGTTACTTCAACCACTAAATGACACTTTTTTTAAGTCAGGGAAACTGTTATAGATAAAATGAGATACAACTACTATGTGTGGACCTTCTTTACATGCTGATTCAAACAGTAGAAAGTCAAACGGAAAACTGAACATGGGCTGGGGATTATATAATATTAATGCATTGTTGAATTTATTAGGTGTGCTAATATTTTTTAAGTCCTCACCTGAAGTATTTAAGGGTAAAATAATATGATGCCTGGGATTTGCTTTAAAAGGCTTCACCAAAAAGAGTAGAGGGAATAGAGGAAATAAGAATGGTAAAATTAGGGTAACTGCTAAAGCTGGTCATGGCTGCATGGATTTCATTCTATTTTTGTGTCTGTTCAAAATAAATTTGCTTAATAAAAAGTCATATTTGAAATGAAAGAATAATTCAAATGTAACCATTATCTTATTATCACTTCTACTCTAACATTTTGTGCTCTATGATATCACCTTCTACCTCCCTGCTAGAGCTGAAGGATCAACAATCATAGCCCCACTTTACTCCAAGGCGCTTTTACATAGTCCAGCTGCTGCCCAACTGCCCAAGCTGACAAATACTTAAGACTTATTCTCTTTGGACATGCCCATCCTATTTTCTGATTCCTGTGGGAGTTGAATTGGAGAAAAAGGGTAAAAGTTGGGGACAGGGCTAACATTTATTCAGCTTCCATCTTGT